GAGAGAGAGAGAGAGAGAGAGAGAGAGAAGGCCCGTGGAAACCTTTGGTGGCTTTTCAATTAAACTTTGTATTGTGGAACAGACGTTGTCTCACCAGTGGGACGGAGATGCTCTGTTTCTCTGTGAGCAGAGCTGTCCTGGTGTTTTGTTTTGTTTTTTATCATTCTCACCTGAAAACTATAAAACATGACATAAAAACAGCAGTGGCGGCTTAGAGAGGCCGCTTGAGCAAGCTCTGTCTGTTGAGGGTTTGCGAAGCCTGAAGGCCCGAATGGCGGGGGTCATGCTCTTTATGCAGCCACTTTTTAACACTCTCTGTGTCTCGGTCCTCCAAAATTAAAAGGAAGAGCTGCTGAATGATACGGGATGCCAAGGTGTGAGGGAAGCCTTTTACATTTATAGCCTCTGTAGAACTGGAGGAAGTGGAGTAGTAAAGTGGAGTCACGCTCCAAAGCCTTCACTCAATTCCAAGTACATCACAGACAGTGGAGACGGAAGCAGAGAAGAGCTTGGATCATAAAAAGTGTTGTTTATCTGGGATGTGGGCACCTGTAGACCAGATAATAATAACTAATGTACAGGTACATTCAGATTTTAATAAAGCCTCGTGCTGTAAAGATTCTAACAACAAACAGAAGATTTATAAATCTGTAATTCAAGACTAAATAAGAGTTATTCTTAACTCTCTGGAGGCAGGCGTTGCAGATTAGCAACGTTAAAACCTACCTGGTTACTCCACATACGTACTTCATGAGCATGTTTTACTCTAAAGTACCCCTGAAGGACTTAGTTGTTCGTCCTTTTATCAAAACTTATTTGAGCCTGAGAGGGTTAATAGGTTTTCGGTCACAGGACCCATGAGCCGACAGACTGAATGTTAGTGAACGAGGCTGTAAAAGTCATTTTCTGGTCAGTTGAATTACACGTATTCACTTTAAATGATAAATAGTAATGTGAGTTTCGACAGTGTCTGTCATGTAATTTTACATTCAGTAGCTAAAGATTTGTGATTCATATAGTTACAAACCAGACGTCACTGCAGGATCTCCTCTCCCGGAGCGCAGTTGCTACTCACCACATGACCAGATTTATGATGGTCTTCTCCACCTTTACTGTTTCTGTTTGTCGTCCAGGTAGAACGCTAGCTAAACTCAGCTGTTTTTCTTCTTTTATCCGTGTCTGGTTTTATGACGTCAGTTTGGTAAGATGAGCAGTTGGAGTTCTCCACATCTTTGCAGCATGTCAAAAATATAAAAATGTGTCTTTAAAATTCAAGAACATCATATGTGAAACCATGGCACATATCACACGGGATCATAAAATAGCTTTTATTGGCCCATAGACTCCCATTCATTTTTTGGGCAGTTGAGGATCCATGGATTGGAAGTAGGTGGCTTCCCACACCCCAGGTCTGGTCCTTTAGGTGTGTTTCCACCATCAGATCTCCAGAGTATAATTTAGATTTTCGCAACATGCACATATCTCCACTTCACCAAACCATTTTCAAGAACTAATGGAGTACCCAAACAGGGATAGGTACTTGGAAAGGCCTGGTGTATTTACTGATTGGTTGTAACTTAGTGGGAAATTACGCCATTCAAAACAGCCGCCATTAAAAGAATTGTTTGTGAAGCAGATCGGAAGCAAATAAGCACCATTCATGTCATTTTAAAATTGCTGTTACTAAACGCCCAACACTGAAAAACGCAGTGTGCATGGGCTTTGTTGTCTCACAGAGCACCGTAAAAACACTCTGCTTCTGGTCAATTAACGCCACATTTCACATCACACAGCAGCTCTCCCGGTCCTTCAAATAGATTTTATAAGGCTGTGCTTTGACAGAAAATTATTTTCAGGGTATTAAAGCCTTTGGACACTTTTTAGCTCTGATCAGTGACGTCAGTCACTGCTAAAACGGTCATGATAAGTTGACGTCTCAGCAAAGTCCTGAAAGGGCCAAATTTGTACGGAGTGTTGACTTGCATCCCAGTCAACTCCCCCCTCCCAGAGGAACAGGCCTTTTACTGGTTCTCCAAATGGCCTGGAAAATGATCTTCTCAGGCCGGCTGATGAAACGTGCATGCCGTAAAGGCCCGGTAAAAATGCCCAGAAGCTCCGATAGTGGAAACGTGGCTAATGATAAGAGGAGAATCTGGTCTCTGGGTTTTATTTCTTTGCTCCGTTTAAGCTCATAATATGAAATGCTGTTTTTTATTAGTTTGAAAGTTTGACATTTACAGCTGGTCTTAAAAATACATCCTGGAATTTGACTCAACAAAGTGAAATTCGATGTTCATTGGGGGGATCAGGCAGGACCCATTATGTAAATGTGGGCATCACCTGTGGGTCAGCCACACTTTGGCACAAGAGGACTACAGAGACTCCCCTAATGGCTCGTACTCCGCAAACACAAATGCTATGTGTATTTGAGACTACAAAAGATTACCACAATTAGCAAATATACAACTGAGTTCAAAGGCACGGCCCTCTTCCTTCGCTTCCCTTCCTTTGTTTGCTTGCTGAGTTTTCGGTTGATAAGGAATAAAATGTGACAGATTAAAGTTAGATATCAGATTTGAATCCCAAACCAAAGCCAAGCTGCCTCACAAACAAATTCACAAATTTCTTAAAGCTGTTAGTTTTAATTATCATATGATATTTTTTAGACTAAGGAGTCAGATTTGATTTTTTTTTATGTTAAATCTCTCTAATGGGGCGGAGTCTGAGCAAGTCGGTCAAAGTCGAGGCCTAAGCCGCGCCCCCATCCCCATGAGGTCCCTGGGGGCTCTTAAATGAGAAGGCCCCTGGCCTTAGGAACCAGTGTGATTCGCTGACCCTTCTCCTGGCGGATTTAGCGCGACCTGCCTGACTTGAGAACATGTCTTCTTCTAGCCCGGACCAACGCCTGGAGCATCTCCTGAGCGCCGTGGAGAGCGAGTTCCAGAAGGGCAGCGAGAAGGGAGACGTGACCGAGAGGGACATTAAACTGACCCTGGAGGACGCGGAGCTGTGGAACAAGTTTAAAGAGTTAACCAACGAGATGATCGTCACCAAGACAGGGAGGTGAGAGTTAGACCTGGGGAAGCAGCTGCGCGCGCCTGGAACAGTTTACGCACGAGGGTTTCTGTGTGAAAATTGATGCTTTTCTCATTCAGGTTTAATTTTGAGGCAGTAAATGTTTCATCAAATGATCGAAATAGACTTACGTGCGCCCGAGTGTGTGTTAGTGACAGAGAAAACGTTATGTAGGATTCTGATAATTAAATCACTCCGATGCCTGTTTTTCCAGGAGAATGTTTCCGGTTCTCAGGGTCAACGTCTCAGGCCTGGACCCGAACGCCATGTACTCGGTGCTGCTGGATTTTGTAGCCGCGGATAACAATCGCTGGAAATATGTGAACGGGGAGTGGGTGCCCGGCGGCAAACCGGAGCCCCAGAGCCCCAGCTGCGTCTACATCCACCCAGACTCCCCGAACTTTGGGGCGCACTGGATGAAGGCGCCCGTCTCCTTCAGCAAAGTCAAGCTGTCCAACAAACTGAATGGCGGCGGCCAGGTGATCATTTTTTAAAAATTACGAACAATAAATTGGATGTATTTACCATTTTTATTTATTTCATTCTATTTTTTTATTTAATTTAACAAAATAATAAAGGAATTGTGTGTGTTTTTGGTAACAATTTGTGCGTTTATGAGGTCATGATCAAGCTGGAAATAAAAATTTTAAATGACTCTATCCTAAATCTTATTTCCCTCTGACTTTTTAATCAATAAACCAAATTCCCATTTAAATTATTGTCAAAAGCCATACTGCTTCATACTTGAAATTATGAAAATAAAAATAACATTAGAGACAAATCTAAAGGGTAACTGTTTCTGCAGATCATGCTGAACTCCCTGCACAAATACGAGCCACGGATCCATATCGTGAAGGTCGGAGGCATCCAGAAGATGATCAGCAGCCAGTCGTTCCCTGAGACACAGTTCATTGCTGTGACTGCTTACCAGAATGAAGAGGTGCGTATGTCCTTGCTTAAACTTTGTCCCAAACTGCTTTGTTCAGAGATCTAACTCTTGTGTGTCTTGTTCAGATCACTGCTCTGAAGATCAAGCACAATCCCTTTGCTAAAGCCTTTTTGGATGCCAAAGAAAGGTCCCAACTTCACCATCCATCTGATTTCGAGTACTTAAGACAGTATTTGATGGGGTTTTTTTATTTCAGGAGTGATCATAAAGACATCTCTGACCACAGTGGAGACAGCCAGCAGTCTGGATATTCTCAACGTGAGTTTCTTCTCTTTTAGACTGAAATACCAGCAAAAGATTTACCTCACCCGTAAAACCTGATATGGTGATAAAACTCACATGAGATTAATTTTGATTGATTATTTCCCTTTTTTGTTTGTTTTCATTCCATCCCAGTTGGAGGTTGGTTCCTCCCAGGTCAGAGTCCAATTTGCCCCAGCACCAGCCCCCCTCAGTTCAGCGGCAATGCGCCCCACTCTTCCGGCTCCTACTGCGAGCGTTACTCCAGCCTGAGGAGCCACAGGCCGACGCCGTACCCCAGCCACTACCCGCACCGCAGCTCCAGCGCAAGTAAGATCCCATTAGGTCCACCATGAGCACCATATGTTACATTTATTGAGTTAAACGTGTTGTTTCTGGTTTCCAGACAACTACATGGACAACACCTCAGGGGCGCTGCCTACTCATGACAGCTGGTCCGCCCTTCAGATTCCCAACTCCACAGGCATGGGCACTCTGGCTCACACCACCAACTCCACATCTAATTCCAGGTAGAATTCATAAAATAATTACATTTGCTAAAAAAAAACTTATGTTGCAGGACTTGGTAACATGTCCGACTCATTTACAGCCAGTACCCCAGCCTCTGGTCGGTAGCCGGAACCACCATCACACCTTCAGGGTCTTCTTCTGGCTCCATACCCGGGGGTTTGACCTCCCAGTTCCTGAGGGGTTCGTCCTATACCGGCCTTACCTCCTCGCTCCCCGTCTCCTCGCCTTCCTCCATGTATGACCCCAGCTTAAACGAGGTTGGGGTTGGCGATGCCCAGTTCGAGAGCTCCATTGCTAGGCTAACAGCAACCTGGGCACCTGTGGCCCAGAGCTACTGAGGCTCCTCATGGCTTCAGGAGACATGCAGCAATAGAGACTAATGCTCCAGGGCTGGGGCTAGGAATGAATCGTCACATGACCTGCAAGGATCTTTGTTGAAAAGCTTAAAATTTTAATTGTTGAGTCAGAAAGATAAAGTTAATTATTTTGGAAATTAAAAAAAGTACATATTTGCTTCAATAAGGGTCTGTGTTGTTCTCAGTATGGAGACAGTGTAGTTTTTACAACCTGCAGACAAAAACAAATCAAGCTTTTATTTTTTCCAACATGTTTTTTTAGCTGCATGGTCAAAACTCTTTGCTCTAGCTTGGTTATTCCAAAAATGTTCATTGACGTAAAATGACTATAAACAAAGGTTTTGCGAATGTGATTGTGTACATGTGTGTATAGAGTAAATTAACGTCCTGTACTTTCATTTGAACGTGCCTTTCATTAGTTTCAAAAGTGCCTTTTTTCGTTCATGACAGGGTTTCGATGGACCAGCGTGTCCCCTGCTCAGATGCCTGTATGTAAGCTATTTGTATTGAATCTGCTGTAAGTTTTATTTATATCATTTATTAATAAATTAAAATATTTACTTTCACACATGCATGCTTTTTTTCTGTTCTTGCTGGGAAAAAATTAATAGAAATTAGCCTAATTTTTTGGTTTATTTTGAAAGCCGTGTTTAGTTAAGAGCTCTAACTTATTAGCAAAAGTCAAATCCACTTTGTTTTATAACCTTTACTTCTAAATCAATATTTATTGTAGGTTGCAGCCCAGAGCTATATCTGTCTTTGCTGCAAACCTTTAATATGCAAAGAAAAAAAACTTTAAAAACCACAAGCTGAGGCCCTTCCCCACCCATCTTTATCACAATCTCTTTTAACCAGCCACTGATACATTTTGATTGGCCAACTCTTCATTTAAATAACAGGTCTGAGTTTGTGTTGGAACTTAATCCTCTATTGGTTTTATAAGGATCAATACAATTTTGCATGTTATTGTACAGGGAGTGCAGAATTATTAGGCAAGTTGTATTTTTGAGGAATAATTTTATTTTTGAACAACAACCATGTTCTCAATAAACCCAAAAAACTCATTAATATCAAAGCTGAATGTTTTTGGAAGTAGTTTTTAGTTTGTTTGTAGTTGTAGCTATTTTAGGGGGATATCTGTGTGTGCAGGTGACAATTACTGTGCATAATTATTAGGCAACTTAACAAAAAACAAATATTATACCCATTTCAATTATTTATTTTTACCAGTGAAACCAATATAACATCTCCACATTCCCAAATATACATTTCTGACATTCAAAAACAATACAAAAACAAATCAGCGACCAATATAGCCACCTTTCTTTGCAAGGACACTCAAAAGCCTGCCATCCATGGATTCTGTCAGTGTTTTGATCTGTTCACCATCAACATTGCGTGCAGCAGCAACCACAGCCTCCCAGACACGGTTCAGAGAGGTTCAATTCAATTCAAGTTTATTTATAAAGCGCCAAATCACGACAAGAGTCGTCTCAAGGCACTTCACATAATAAACATTCCAATTCAGGTCAGTTCATTAAGCCAATCAGAAATAATGTTTCCTATATAAGGAACCCATCAAATTGCATCAAGTCACTGACTAGTGTCAGTGACTATACAGCAATCCTCATACTAAGCAAGCATAAAGCGACAGTGGAGAGGAAAACTCCCTTTTAACAGGAAGAAACCTCCAGAGAACCCCGTCTCGGTATAAGCAGCCATCCTCCACGACTCACTGGGGATCGAGAAGACAGAGCAGGCAGACACACACACACACACACACACACGCACGCACGCACACACACAAAGACAAGTAATGTGTCTATAGTTATATTGTGATTTCTTAGTAAATATTCTATTTGGTGAGAGATAAACTTTATTGTATTTATCCTAGTGGATCTATAATTAAACGGATAAACTAGTAGTAGCACATCCAACGTCAAGGAAAGCAAAAAGTTATTATCAGGAGAGGGAGAATGTTTAAGTGGTTAGCAGCAGTGTGCTAGACGATGGCCCTCTCCATGAGGCCACCACAGCTCAGCAGAACATCATTGTAGCTTCTTCTGGGGAGAAAAACACTTAGAGAGAAAATAAAGTTAACAGCTGAAATTGCAGAAAATAATACAGTTAAAGAGCAGACTGTAGAAGAAAGCAGTAGAGTGTGAAAAGTGGTCAGTGTGTCCTCCAGCAGTCTAAGCCTATAGCAGCATAACTACAGAGATAACTCTGGATAATCTATCCTGTTTAGATGGAGGCATGTTGGAGTCAGGGCAAGGGAGAGCCGTCTTTACCGACTACACTCCACCTCCCTCTACTCCCCCACTTGTCCAGATCTAGGCTAACATCAGATTTTAACCATAGGCCCTATCAAATAAAAATGTTTTAAGCCTAGTCTTAAAAGTAGACAAGGTGTCTGCCTCACGGACTAAAGCTGGGAGCTGGTTCCACAGGAGAGGAGCCTGATAACTAAAAGATCTGCCCCCCATCCTAAGTTTAGATATTCTGGGAACCACCAGTAGACCTGCAGTCTGAGAGCGAAGTGCTCGGTTAGGAACGTATGGAACAATCAGATCACTGATGTATGATGGAGCTTGATTATTAAGAGCTTTATATGTGAGAAGAAGGATCTTAAAATCTATTCTGAATTTAACAGGTAGCCAATGTAGGGAAGCCAAGACAGGAGAGATATGATCTCTCTTTTTAATTCTCATCAGAACTCTAGCTGCAGCATTTTGGACAAGCTGAAGACTTTTAACTACATTCTGTGGACTTTCTGAGAGTAATGAATTACAGTAATCCAGTCTTGATGTAACAAATGCATGAACTAGTTTTTCAGCATCACTCCTGGAAAGGATGCTTCTAATCTTAGCAATATTCCAAAGGTGGAAGAAGGAAATCCTACAAACCTGTTTAACCTGTGATTTGAATGACATGTCCTGGTCAAAGATAACACCAAGGTTCCTTACTTTGTTCTCGGAGATTAATGTAATGCCATTCAGGTCAGGTGATTGACTAAGCAATTTCCTTTTCTGGATTTCTGGTCCAAAGATGAGAACTTCCGTCTTGTCTTGATTTAAAAGCAAAAAGTTTTGAGTCATCCAATTTTTTATGTCTTCAAGACAAGCCTGTAATCTACCCAACCGATTAGGTTCATCAGGGTTAATGGATAAATATAACTGAGTATCGTCAGCATAACAGTGGAAGTTTATCCCTTGCTGTCTAATGATTTTACCAATTGGGAGCATATATATAGTAAAAAGAATTGGTCCAAGCACTGAACCCTGTGGTACTCCGCAAGTAACCCTGGAGTATGAAGACGATTTGTCATGTACATTTACAAAATGAAATCTGTCAGACAGGTAGGATTTAAACCAGCCTAGCGCTGTTCCTTTGATCCCTACAACATGTTCAAGTCTTTCTAAAAGAACATTGTGATCAACTATGTCAAAGGCAGCACTGAGATCTAACAAGACTAGAACAGACACAAGATTCTTATCTGAGGCCATGAGAATATCATTTGTAACTCTCACTAATGCAGTTTCAGTGCTGTGATACTCTCTAAAACCAGACTGAAATTCCTCAAACAGAGCATTTGTGTTTAAATGCTCACATACTTGGATGGCCACTATTTTCTCCAGGACTTTGGATAAAAATGGAAGGTTAGATATTGGTCTATAATTCATTGGGTCATCTGGATCCAGAGAAGGCTTCTTAAGTGAAGTTTTGATTACAGCAACCTTAAAATCCTGTGGTACATATCCATTCACTAAGGATAGATTGATTATATCTAGAATGGGGGCAGTAACCAAAGGAAATGCATCTTTAAATAATTTGGTTGGGATTGGATCCAATATGCAAGTTGAAGGTTTAGATGAAGCTAATATTTTTGATCACTCTGAAAGCTCAACTGGATCAAAACGGTTCAAGGACAGATGAGGTTCTACAGTCACCTCTGATGCTGCCTCACTTACTGAGGAAGAAATCGCATTAGGGAGGATGCTAAAGATTTTGTTTCTAATAGAATTAATTTTACTTGTAAAAAATCCCACGAAGTCATTGCTGCTGAGGGCTAAGGCTATGATGGCTCAGAGCTATGATTCTGTGTAAGTTTAGCAACTGTACTGAAAAGAAATTTAGGATTATTCTTATTCTCCTCAATTAATGCCGAGAAATAAGCAGTTCTAGTTTGTCGAAGCTTATTTTTATAAAGCACAAGACTATTTTTCCAGGATAGGTAGGCCTCCTCATGGTGCGTAGAGCGCCATGTCCTCTCCAATTTCCTAGAGTTTTGTTTTAAGGCTCGTAGATGAGAGTTAAACCAGGGAGCCAACTTCCTGTCCCTAAATACCTTCTTTTTTAAAGGGACAACATCGTCTAATGCCACACGTAAAGAGGAATTAACATGATGAACTAATGCATCAATTTGTGAGGGGCTAGAACTGAAAATATTACCCTCTGCTACATGCCTCTGAGATGCTGAGGACAGTAAAGATGGAACAGTTGATTTAAAAGATGCAACTGCGTTGTCAGATAGAGACCAACTATAGTGAAATTTACTTTCATGTCTCAAAAACTCAGTTATAAAAAACTTAAAGGTTATCAGAAAGTGGTCCGAGAGGACTGGATTATGTGGAAAGATCGTTATTTCCTCACACTCTATGCCATAAGTCAGCACAAGGTCCAATGTATGATGGCAGGAGTGGGTGGAGCTATGTATTCTTTGAGTAAAACCAATTGAGTCTAAGATATTACTAAAGGCTACATTGAGGCTATCATTTTCAATGTCCACATGAATGTTAAAATCCCCCACTACAATGACCGTATCAGTATTTAGCACCAAATCTGATAAAAAAATCAGAGATCTGATCCAAAAACCCAGAGTAAGGGCCTGGTGGACGATATAAAACTACAAACAAGAGTGGTTTTACAGTTTTGCAATCTGGATTAGGAAAACTAAGAATAAGATGTTCAAACGAACTGTAGCTATTAATTAGTAAGGGACTGATTAATAAGTCCGAATGAAAAAGGTTGCTACTCTTCCTCCTCGCCCTGTACTTCGAGCAATATGATGATTTAAATAATTTGAAGGAGTCGACTCGTTTAAGCTAACATAGTCCTCTTGCTGCAGCCAGGATTCTGTGAGAGAGAGCAAAGAGATCTGATTATCACAAATCAAGTCATTAACTAACAAAGTCTTAGAAAAAATGGATCTAATGTTCAACAACCCACATTTAATTTTTATAGTTTTCTGCTCAGTTGAATTTGTTCTAATATTTATGAGATTTCCATGATTTGCTTTATTAAGCCTGATATTTAATCTGTGTGATTTTGGCCGTGGGCAGGACACTGTCTCTATGGGGTAGTGGGTGGGTAACAGTACAGAAGCTGCAGAGGGGTGGGTTAAACTACGACTCTGCTTCCTGGTCTGGACCCTGGGTTGTCATGGAGGACTAATAAAACTGGCCATGTTCCTAGAAAGAAGAGCTGCTCCATCCAAAGAGGGATGGATGCCGTCACTCCGCATCAGACCAGGTTTTCCCCAAAAAGTTTTCCAGTTATCAATGTA